GGGGAGGCAGCGGTCCACAAACAGCCACAGGTGGTAGAAGGTTCTGGGAGAAGGATCAGGACGGCAGGGCAGGATGGGGTGAGGGGCCAGGAGGAAATCCCTGGTGAACCCCGCGGGCCTTGGCTGACTTCTTCTTATACTGTTACTCAAATATATACAAATACAGAACTCGGTGTAATCAACTTTGTATGCTTATCACCGTTGAACAGCCATAAAGCCAAAACAAAACCACAAATTGAATAAAAATAAAGCTACAGAACAGTAACATTAGAAGTAACAGCATTAATTTAATGTGATGGATGATATTATTTTGCTGGAACCAAACTGCTCGCAATATGGACGTGGCGCTCCGGTGGGGCCGGTTCTTCTGAGTTCCACGCCTGTGCCATGGGGTGCCTTGTGGGGGTCTGTGTGTCCCACCAGCTTCCCCAGCTGGGGTCACTGCAGAGCCCTTCCTTGCCCTTCGTTTGGTGTGAGTGCATGTTCCCACCCGAGCCCACCCTGCTCTTTGCACGTTGTCTGGTGACCGTGCGGGTAGCAGTCCAGGTAGCAGTGGGTTGACTGCCCAGGGCTTGTGTGGAGTCACTTCACCTGGCTGAGCATGTGTCCTTGTCCGAGACCATCCAAGCTTCCTGGCAGGGCTGTTGTGAGAAGCAGAGATGATGGAAGGAAGGCCTAACCCAGGGGGAAGGCCGTGGGGTCCCCTCAGTCCACATCTGGCCTCTGATGCTCTGGCTCCCCCCAGGAGGCTGCCCCTTCTTGGAAGGACATGGAAGCCCTAGCACCACACAGCAGAGCGTGGCTCCAAAGTCATTCCATATGGGAGACTCTGGATATACTTCTGTTTTTTGGATAATCATCTAAATATAAACCCCAAATAAGACTTCCTTTCTACTCCCTGGGGCTTCGTAAGACCTCAGTTTGAAAACTGTGGCCCAAGCCGGGCTCGGTAGCTCAGCCTGTAATCCCGCACCTTGGGAGGCCGAGGTGGGTGGATTGCCTGAGCCCGCGGGTTTGAGACCTGCCTGGGCAACTTGGCGAGACCACATCTCTACAATAAATCAAAAACTAGCCAAGCGTGGTAGCGCATGCCTGTAGTTCCAACTACTTGGAAGGCTGAGGCAGAAGGATCGCTGGAGCCCAGCAGGTCGAGGCTGCGGTGGCTGGGAGCGGCCACTGTACTCCAGTCTGGGCGACGGAGTGAGACTCCAACTCAAAAAAAAAAGAAAACAGTGGCCGAGAGAATGAAGTCCTAGCACCGCATTTGAGGTCTCCCCATCCAGTTCTACCAGTCCCTCCTGTTATCTCTCACCACCCACTCCCCATGCCCCAACACTCGTTTGTGTCATCCATCACCAGGGATCTGGGCCCCTTACCCAGCACTGTCTCACCACCTTGATATCTTTCTCCCCAGCTCCTTCCACCATTTGTGGTTGTTAATGAACGGCTTTCTCCCCACCCCTCCTATAAACTCCATAAGAGCAGGGACCCTGTCTGTCTTGTTTACTGCTGTCTCTCCAACCCCTGGCACAGAACCTGGCATGTAATAGATCTTCAGATGTCTTTGAACAACTTGCTGTTCATGGGCTTCCTCAGGCCACAGTGCCTTTTCATGTGCTCTTGTCCTTCTTGGCAGTGCCCACCACACTCCCGGCTCTGTCCAGGCCCCTTGTCTCACCCTGGCACAATTGGTTCTTGGTTCTTCTATGACCCTTTGCACAGATGGACGGTGGCCTGGATCCCAGGTGTCACACTTGACCTGCGAATGGATCTGTCCCCCCAACTAGACTGGGAGCCCCATCGGGGCAAGGGCCAGACAGTGTTTCCTTCCAGATCCTCAGTGCCATGTCCCCAGGGCTCCAGCTCTTGTTTTTCCTGGGAGTGGACACCTGGCTTCCTGTTGGCGCCTTCTCCACCCGAGGCTGAGCCGGGTCTCTCCTCTGCCCAGATAAGGTGTACCTCGGCCCCCCGCGCCTCTTCCAGGAGCTGCAGGACCTGCAGAAGGACCTGGCTGTGGTGGAGCAGATAACACTCCTCATCAGCACCCTACACGGCACCTACCAGGTACGTGGCGCCGGCCTTGGGGCCCGAGCACTTCCTGTGGGCAGTGTTTAGACACAGAAGGCTGAGTGTGTGTGTGGGGGGACTTCTATGTTGGCCCATGTCCCGAGGTACCCTGGCTTCTGAGCCTCTGCACACAGCAGTAGTGGTAGCACTCCCTGTTCCTACCCAGATGTCTGGTGTGCAGCCCCTGGTTCAGGTGATACCCTGGTTCGGGTTGACCTCTAGTCTGTGCTGAGCCCCTGGTTTGGGCTGAGCCCCTGGTTTGGGCTGAACCCCTGGTTTGAGCTGACCCCCTGGTTTGGGTTGACCCCTTGTTTTGGGCTGACCCCCAGTTTGGGCTGAATTCCTGGTTTGGGTTGACCCTCTGGTTTGGACTGACCTCCTGATCTGGGTTGACCCCCTGGTTTGGGCTGACTTCCTGGTTTGGGCTGAACCCCTGGTTCTGGCTGACTCCCTAATTTGGAATGACCTCCTGGTCTGGGTTGACCCCTTGGTTTGGGCTAACCCCCTGGTTTGGACTGACCTCCTGGTACTGGCTGATGCTTGGTTCGGGCTGACCCCTGGTTCGGGCTGCTCCCTGGTTCAGTTGAGTGGAGCCTGGCTGTGGGGCTGTTTTTGTTCTCTGCACAGTGGTCAGTCAGTCATGTGACTCTCCTTGGACCTCTGTCCAGTTTGGAGGGGAGGCTGGCTGGAGGGTGTCCCTCCCAGAGGAGTGCTTCCAGGTGGGATCTGAGCCCAAGCTGGGACACCTGAGGCAGGGGGAGTTGGCCTCCACGTGTGACTGACTGTGTAGACTCAGTGAGGCTGCAGGCCTTTTCCCCAGTTTCTCCCTCCTGGGGCTCTGTGATTGCTGCAGGGTCTGGGGTGGCTCAGGGGGGCCAGTGGGCTGTGTGGTGACCACGCTGGTGTTCTGCCCTAGAACCTGAACATGACCGTGGCTCAAGACTGGTGCCTGGCCCTGCAGAGGCTGATGCGGGTGAAGGAGGAGGAAATCCACTCGGCCAACAAGTGCCGCCTAAGGCTCCTGCTTCCCGGGAAACCTGACAAGTGAGAGCAGGGGACTGGGAGGGGAGAGGGCGCATGCCTCTGCTGGCAGCCAGGGGAGTGGGGGACTCAGAAAGGAAGCCTAGAGCCATCCTGTTTGTCAAGACCACTGTGATGAGAATGGATACGCACACATCGTGGGCCATGCCTGGGACAGCACCTGGCACAGAGTAGATGCTGATGAAAAGGTTGTTGAATGAATGAATGAGCAGGTGGATGGATGAATAGATAAGCACCATGTTCTTGCCCTCAGGACGCTCTGCCGTCAGTTGGTTCCATTCTTGCTGTGCTCTTTTCACTTGTACCTGACTGCGTAGGCCCTTGGGCCAGGGACCCAGCCTTCCCCATCACTGCCCACCCCCAGATGCCCATGCCCACCACAGGAGCTTGTGCTCAGCAGACCCCCGGCTGGTGGCTGCAGAATGATGACAGGTTTAGCTGTTTGTCCTGGCAAAGCCAGGGAAAGGCGTCTGTCTGATTCCCCCGTGGCCGTGCAAGGTGGGTCTTCTCGTCCCCATTTCACAGATGAGGAAGGCAAGCCTCAGAGAGTGACATGGGAGTCTGAAGGCCACAGAGTAAGAGACAGAGCTGGGTCCTGGTGGGGTCGGACTCTGAAGCCCAGGCTGGTGGAGTGAGGGGGCTCATGGCCTCTGGGGTAGGGGGGCGTGGGGACAGAGGGTCCCAAGCACAGTGGCTGCAAGGAGAAGAAGGTTGGAGCATGTTGCTGGAGGCAAGGCCATGGACTTGTGTGCGGGCATCAACGGCTTTGAGCTCAAATCCGATTGCCATGTCTGCGCTGAGTGGCCTTGCCGAGCTCCCTTGTCCTTTCTGCCTCCTGTTGTCCCCAGGCCCTCTACGGGGCAGTGACTCTGCCCTGCCCACCTCCCAGGGGGCCATGACGGCCCATGGCAGAGAACGGGCCCCAGAGGGCTCTGAAGGGACTGAGAGGACCGTGTGGTGACAACAACGACCTCTGACTATCCCAAGCTGGTGCTCAGCTCCATTCAGTCATTCATTCGTTCATTCATTCATTCATTCATGTGTCCGCTCAGCAGACATTTACTGAGCAACTGGCCCATGCCAGGTGCTGGGAACAGTCCTGAGTGAAACCTGATCCTCCCGCCAGAGGCTCATGGTCAGACATATGAGGTCACACATGGCAAGGCCTGTGGACAGCTGACCACTGACCAGGTGGAGTCACAGCCTGCAGAGGTTTTGCTGGGCACAGTGCCAGAGGCTCCTGGGGCCAGGCTGGGGAGCATGGTGGCCACCCTGGCCGGGGATTTCCCTCCAGGAGTCACCATGGGCCTCCTTCCCCAGGGGACTAAGGATTTGCCAGGTCACCAGTTTCTCTGGCTGTGCTTTTGGGATGCTCTGACCAGCCCTCCCTCTACCTCTGGAGTGCGTGGGCTGGAGGAGGCACCAATGGTTGGCCTGGGGGGGGTCAGGGCCCAGCGCCAGGCACTCAGCTCCCTCCCTGCCACCTTCTCCCTGCAGATCTGGCCGCCCCATCAGCTTCATGGTGGTCTTCATCACCCCCAGCCCCCTGAGTAAGATTTCCTGGGTCAACAGGTTGCATTTGGCCAAAATCGGACTCCGTGAGTATAACTCAGGGGACGGTGTCTTGGGAGCAGGGTGCAGAGGTTTGGGGGATGTGTGAGTTCACAGGCTGGGGGGGCGTCCCAGATCAAGGAGGACAGGGAGGTGACTGGGCAGTGTGGTGGAGAAACAACTGGAGTCAGGGTTCTGAGGTCTGAGGCTGCTGTGCGTGCATGGACAGGTCACTTCCCCTCTCTGAGCCTCAGTTTCCCCTTCTCTGAACTGATAGGACTTGACGGAAGGTAAATGGGTGGTTGCCAGGGACTTGAGAGGAGTGGGAGAGGGGCTGCTAAGGGTTTTGTGGGGATGTGAAAAAACATTCTGAAATGACACAGCGGTGGGGGTTGTCCAGCTCTACAAATACACTAAACACCAGCGAAGCATCTGCTTTAGAAGGGTGGGCTTTATGGCAACTGAATTATGTCCCCATAAGGCTGTTACCCGAAAAGATGATGCCGGTTGAACGGATGCTCTGCCGAAAGGCTCTTGGGCATTGGTTTCTTCTTGTGTACCCCATAATACTAATACAGATAAATAAACAGATGTTGACAGAGTGCTTCCTGGTGCCAGGCACTTTTCTGAGCATTTACACACATCTTTTTCATGTCACATTCACAATGACCCTAAGGGTTAGGTCTGTTGTGACGCCCTTTATACTGCTGAGGATTCTGAGACCCAGAGAGGGGCAGTGACTTGCCCAAGGACACATAGCAGGAAGGGGCTGATCTGGGATTCCGGCACTGGGCAGCTGGCCAAGGCCTCCTCCAAGGCTCCGGTCAGGCCCCTGTCCGTTCAACTTCCTCGACTTGGTGAGAGTCTGTCTGCCAAGTCACATTTGTTATGTTATACTGACTTTACTTACCCATTTTTTTGAATTGATAAAAGGCTTATGTCCTCACCCATCAGAGCTGCTATTCCTTCAGACGTATTAGAATTTCCATTGGCCGATTCTAGCCAACAGTGAGAACATTGCTTGGTTTATATTTTTTGTTTTAGTTTCTGGTGTGGTCTTTGTATACGTACGTATATATTTCCAATAGGTTTTAAACACTTCTGGAAAGAAGTCAGGATTTTTGTCACTGTTTTTCATGAATTAAAGAAGAGACCTATTTACTGCATTTCTGCAGCAATTGTAGGCATGAGGGAAGGATCAATGACAAAACTAGAAAGATTCTTAGATTTACGAGGGCAGGTGGACATTAAGTGGGAAGTGAATCGGCAGGGAGGTTGTGCTGTGCAGAGGTTAGGGCTGGGCCGTAGGGGTTCTCTGAGGTGGGGACCTTGAAGCTCTGCAAAGAGTTGGCAGAGTGATCCAGGTGTGGGAACAGCAAGTGCAAAGGTCCGGAGGTGGGGACAAAAGGAAGAGCAGGCTGGGCGTGGCGACTCATGCCTGGGATCCCACCACTTTGGGAGGCCAAGGCCACTCAGGAGTTCAAGACCAGCTTGGGCCACACAGCAAGACCTTGTCTCTATTTTAAAAATAAAAAAAATTAGCTGGGTGTGGTGGCATGTGCCTGTAGTCACAGCTATCAGGAGACTGAGGCGGGAGGATTGCCTGAGCCCAGGAGGTCCGGGCTGTGGTGAGCCGTGATTGTTCCGCTGTACTCCAGCCCTGGGTGACAGGGTG